GAATATGAAGAGATGTGAAGCACACGGCGCGTCCCTGACCCTTTGTGGGCCCAATCAGTTGTGCTCGCTTCAACTGCGGTTCCCTGTAGGAAAAAATCAGAATCAGAAAAATTAAATTGATTCACAAAGGGGTCGTTTGATTTGTCAAGGAGAAGCCCACAATTCGACCAGAATGCTATTTACAGCGCCAACTTCGTGAACATGTAATCGCTAAAGTGAAGTTGGAGTTTGCTAACTCTTTTGCTTTTCCTCTTTCGAAAAGGTAAATCAATGTGGGTTCCGAAACCGTTCTCATTTTTGCCCAAGGCCGTCGCTGAAAAAAGCTGTAGCCGTTGAAAGAGTGATATGAGCGAAAAGAGAACTTCTCGGCAGTGTCAAGGTTAAATCCTCACAGTATCATTCTCGAAATACTAAACGAATCAAAAGCTTACAAAGCTGTACTAATATTTCCGGTTTGACGAGGAAATTATGATTGGAAAGTGCTAAAACTCGGACTTCTCGGATGTTTTCCTCATTCTTTTTGCAGAAATCCTCAACGTGACAGTTTTTGAAATGCTGAACAAAGCGAACCACTTTAACAAACAGCAAAGTAAATCTAGGATATGGCTATTCACTTTTCAGATCCTATGAAAAACGAAGTTATAGCTCCGGAAAAAGTAAAAACTTGCACTCACCAAGTATTTTCCTCGTTAATCGATCTAAATTGCTAACTTCGCATCAGTTCCCACGATTTTCATATTTGTCAGAACGAGCTCATCTAAACACTTCCAGATGGAGATCGTGTTTCAAAGTTTTCCTCGACTCCTCACTTGGCCCTGGTCTGTATGGGGCGCCGGTGCACTGCAACATAGCATTGAATGCGCACCCGGCCCCACACTGCAGACATGTTCAGAGCGCACGGTAGCCAACGGGTTAGTCAACTGCTCCTTCTACTTCCCACTTCTGCGATCGGCGATGTTCTTAGTGCAACATTGGGTTGTTATTATGACAGCTGCCCACTCGTCCCTCCTTTTTCATTTCCAATTAGAGGTCGAAGTACGCAGCTCCAAAGCAAAAGTGGAGGCATGTCCAGACCCTTCACCTTTCCAGGGCAGAGCAGCCACAGTACGTCCTCGCTTCTTTAGTCCGAGCGTGGTCGCAACGACCACCACATAATGATTTGAGCAAATACCCGCATTCCCTAACGCACAGTGTCCTGAGGTGAAGTTCCTTATTCGCGGCTTACGCAGACGTGGTCACCTTCATTTACCGCCTCTGACCTCCGAGTTTTCTTGTGCATTTGCCTGTGATTCAACCCAAAGCTCATTGCGAAACAAAGCCGACCTTTCACTATTGCATAGTTGCTCAGAGACACGAAAAGTCCGATGTCGACACCTGGTTTTCCGTTGAAGTCTCAAAGAACAATTTATATCTTCCTGACTCCTTACAGATAGTAGGACTTCTTTAGCGTTGAGATTTTGAAGACAGAAGGGTTCCACCCTTCTGTCTTCAAAATCTCAACGCTAAAGAAGTCGCTCTGCCTAGAGCGGTTGGAATCGCTCCAAAGTGCGAGCGACGGGAGATTTACCTCTACCGACGACCGATACACACGCTTCGGTAAATCTCCCGCTCGCACTTTGGGGCGATGCATCGGGGCGATGCCAATCGCGCGTCTGACCGGACATCTTCAGCTGCTACATTTGGCAAGCCCTCAGCTACCTGCCGAAGTTAGTCTCGTTGAATCTAGCCAGTGGAACACCGTTCAAAACATGAATGCAACGAAAACCACGTCAAATATTCATTGACAAACGAATGAAACGCCTGAGGTAATGCCAATGAAGATCTTTCAGTAAATATGTACAAGTCTGAGAAGATTCAGGTAACTCATAATATTGAGAGGAGGTGTGGTTCACTAAAACAGAAAGCGACTTTCGCGAAACATTTTTCGCTGCGGGAACCTTAGGTCCACCGCTGATCATGATGAACCTGGAGCTCTCGTAGCGAAAGAAGTCTCGCGCTGCGGAGCGAAAAAAACCGCTTTCTTTCCAAGTAAACCACACCCCTGAGAGGGTGGGCGTCATGAAAGCATGTGCGGTTACAGTGCTATGTGATAGGCAGTGGAGTATAATGCATCGGATGTGTAGCAATTTCGCGCAGTTTTGCCTCTTGCTCCGACATTACCAATGTCATCAATTGAGATTTCTGATCCTGCTGCACGCAGTAAGCGACAGCGTTGAGAGGCTCTGGCAATGAGCATCGCTACACACCATATGCATCATTCGGACAGAGCAGGTATTAGCGCAACCGCACGCGCCACTAGAAAGGCCCTAAAACGTTCGCTCCCGACTATACAATAAATTTTATATTAGGCTAACAATAATTCTCATATACACTGAAGTGAAGGATTGGAATGAAGAAAACAAGATCTCCTTAAGTTATAACACCACTATATAGTATACATGATCATGATCACCAACAGAACTGTTTTTCCACTTTCGTACAATACGCCCTCTAAACGGAACTAGCACGACATGCGCGACAGCAACTAAGATATGACACTCGGAACTCAAGTAAATGGGTACGCGGCACCTGTTAATACCGCATGCTGCGCCGCTCTACTGCTAAACGTGACGCGTCCAGGTACCCCCCAGGAGGCCCATCGCGCGGCAAGAAGGCAGAGTCGGCGGACGAGTCGCAGCGCGTGATGTGCGATGTAGGACGTGCAATGGGACATTCTATTTAACTTGACGCGAAATCCCTAATACGCGCGCGACTCGTCCGCTGACTCGGCCTTCTTGCCGCGCGACGGGCCTCCTGGGGGTACCCGACGCGTGCGACTTGACGCCACAGAGTTGTGCGGCAGCTTTGCCAGGATCGTCCTCGGGCAATGTTGTCGCGCCAAGCCACGCGGTATAAACAGATGCTTTCCTACATCAGTACTGGAAGTGTAGAAAGAACAAAAATTTGCTTTTCTAGAAATGCCAAAGAATTAGGCTCTATTCCTTATAAATAATGAATGTGAACAACAGAGATCAGGGGTTGCTTCTCTCATAACTATGGAACTGTACACTAAATCACATATATACAAAGAAATAGAATTTAATATGTCTTCTGTATCACCTAGTCGACAATGTTTTCATTGGAGTGCTGAAGGCAAGACAATATTTCATGTAGGTACTTCGCTCGTCCAAGTACCGATTACAGTTGTAGATCACAATGACGAACCACACTTCGAGTAATAAGGAAAGCGCATAGACTATCAGAATTGAATAGATACGTACCATGGTGCCTTTAAAAACATTTCATGATCATTCTAATAGTTTTTGGGCGAATATGTTTCTCACCTGCATCCAAAGCGACTGTGTTGTGGACCGGATGTTCCATGAATGGAGCCGCGTTGATCAGCCTGTAGAAAACGGCTGAATCGGTCGTTATCGCTACCAATCCACTGACCAACACCAAGGCGAAGCATATTATCGCAATAACCTGAAATTAAGTACTTAAACACGCTGGAGCGCTTTGTTCATCTCCATATGGTATCATGGACAACAAGGCTGAGAGAGTCTGAGTGTAGGGAGACTACTCAAGACGTTTCTCCCATTGTACTGAGAGAAACGCCTTGACTGATCTCCTCACACTCTTTCAAGAAGTAAACCGCAATCTCAAACAAACTGCACACATTTGTGTAAAAACTTGGATTCGACCTCTCAACCTTCACGTTTATAACACCATATGGAGAATTCTCGGAAAATAACAGGAGGACTGAAGATTGGGTTTACACTCCCCTGAACACCTATGATTGAGTTAATTGCTACAACTGATTATTTTTTGATATGAATTGAAAAGTCGGATTTCCCCTGGAGGAAACTATTTATTAAATTTGACAAGAGGACAAAATTGATGGAATGGCAAGTGTCACCATTTACCACGCGCATGATCTGGGGCCAATCTCGGCTAAAATTTCGCGTATACCGATTAAGCGCTCCAATCCTCAATAATTACTCGCTGCTAGCTTGGCCAGGAAGGTTTAAAAAACTGATTCGCGCATCAGGTGACTTAAACATGTCGTTGTGCACGCCAACCCGCAGCCAAGTTGCACTAAGAAATGAGGAAATGGAGGCATGGCGCATTCTACACCTTCAATTTGGGATGATGTGAATATTGTGACTATTCCTCCCGTAATAATGAGCGTAGGATGATTAGAAAAGCCTACACAAAGCAAAACACCTCAAAATTTGTGTTACTACAACTGTTGTAGGGTGAATATCGGTCGAGGAAATCCTCGACAGGGGGTCGTACTTGTCAGGCTGGGTCATGGGGGTCGTACTCTTGGGGGTCAGTAACATCAGTGGTATCGTGGTGCAGATAGGAGTAAGAGGGTGCAGCAGAAAATAAATATGTGAAAAAACATATAAAATATTCTTTGCAGGTTCAGTCGCTCCATTCCTCTACCTTTATGAGAAGGCGTATTTGAAAGCAGTACAAAGAATGAAAGTGCATCCCGCAAGAAGCCACATGTGCACACGCGCTGCAAAGGCACCTCCTCCATCTATCGCTCGCTCCTTCTCCCTTAATACCTCGCTGAGAATGACACTGTTGTTAGGGACGCTGTCGCAAAAACGACAACCGTGAAGGAAAAGCCCTGGGCAAATGAAGCTGTTCCTTCAGGTAGGAGTTACGAAATGTGTTTACTACAATGCAGCTTGGTCATGATCATATAACACCTTCCAGTCGATTCCGCATTTCCGTGGTGGGTCCGCTCCTCCAAGTGGTGCCACTGGGAACTGCTCACTTTTGTGAGCTGAGCTGATCGCGGACATTCGAATGCAGGCGACAGGCCCCCGTGACAGGCCGGCCTACGAACACCCACGTCACATCACAATGTTAATGTCGCTATGTGATCTCGAGATAATGCTACGGCGTCCGCGGGAGCCGACGCGCACTCGCAAAGCCCGGCGAGTGTGAAAAGTATGCGAGGGTCTCCGGTGCAAGGACGGCATCGGGGGGCAACTAGGCTAGTCCAAAAGTCCTGCAACGTATGGAAGACTCGCGTTGCGACGTTAAATGTTGGCACGTTAACGGGCCGCTCGTACGAGTTAGCAGAAGCTCTAGAGCGCCGACGGATTGATTTCTGTGCCGTGCAGGAAACGAGGTGGTCCTGCTGCAGATCGAGAGATATTGGACGAGGCTTTAAAGCCGTTCTTTGTGGCGGTCCTAGAACGACCAGAGGGGTCGGAGTAGTTGTTTCTGACCGCTTCCGTGACTCGATCGTAAGCGTTGATCGTTATGACGACCGTCTAATGAAGATTGTTGTCGTCATCGAACGTAAGCGATACCACTTCTTTTCTGCATATGCTCCGCAGACTGGCTGCTCTGAGCGAGCCAAGGACGAGTTCTGGACCTTGCTGGATGAAAAGACCGCAGATGTACCGTCAGAAGAGGCTGTCATTGTCGCAGGTGACCTTAACGGTCACGTCGGCACTGCGAAAGACGGGTACAACTGTCATGGTGGATTTGGATATGGGTCACGTAACAACGATGGCGAACGAATTCTTGAGTACGCAAATTCGCACGATCTCACCATCGTGAATACGAATTTCCGGAAACGTGATTCCCACCTCATCACCTTCTATAGCGGTACTACCAGAACGCAAATCGACTATGTCCTCGTCAGGCAACGCGATCGAGGGCTCGTAACAGACGCAAAGGCGGTGCCGTATGAGACTGTCACCACGCAACATCGACCGCTGATTTGCACGCTGAAGATCGCTCCTCCGAAATTGAAACAGAATCAAGTGGTGGCGTTTGAAAGAGAAGGAGGCGGTCGTGATATCCAACATTCAGTTGCCGGCAGTCACTACTGTTGATGAAACTTGGAAAAGTGCTGCCGAGGCGATAATCCGTTCTGCCCGTTCCGAACTCGGCACAACAAAACCTGGGCGACGGAAGATCGACAAGCAAGCGTGGCTATGGACGGACGATGTTAAAGAAAAAGTACGTGAGAAGAAGAGGCTATACCACGTATTTCTTGGCGATAAGACTGTCGACAACTGGCGGAGTTATCAGGCAGCTAAGAATGCGCAAAGAAGGCCGTTGCTGCCGCAAAAGCTGCCCACTTTGCTGATGTTAGCGAGAAGCTCGAGACGCGCGATGGTGAACGCTATGTTTATCGACTTGCCAAAGCCCGCCATCGCCAGTCCGAGGATATCGAGAAGTTTTTCGGCATCAACGACGAAAATGGTCACCTCCTGACGGACCGCAAGAAAGCAGTGAAGCGATGGCACGATTACTTCGAGAACATCTCAGCAGTAGAATTTGCTCATCCAGCAGTCCCTTATGTCCGCCAGTGCAAGGTCCTGTGCAGAGAATAACCGTGGAGGAAACGGAAAGGGCTCTGAAGAAGATGAAGTCAGGCAAAGCTACAGGTCCCGATGATTTGGCGGCCGACATATGGAAGTCAAAATGCTGGTGTCCTGCAGAATGGTTGACCAAGTTTTCAACCAGATCGTTGCAGAGAGAAAGGTGCCTGAGAGTTGGCAACAGAGCACGACGATTCCGATTTGGAAGAAGAAAGGCAGCCCTGCTGACTGTACGAGCTACCGTCCAATCCGCCTGCTCTCGCACAGCAAGACTCAAGGAAAGACATCGCGAGAAAAGAAAAGCTGTGCATCTTGCCTTCCTGGACCTGGAGAAGGCTTTCGATCGCGTTCCTCGAGAAGTTATATGGTATGCTTACGACAGCACGACGTTCCTGAAGAGCTCATTGAGTGGGTGCGCATACTTTACTCGAACCAAAGAGCCGAGTGCAAACGGCAGCAGGCACTTCGATGGAATTCCCCATCTCTGTCGGTGTACACCAAGGCTCTGCGCTTTCCCCACTCCTATTGTTGTCGTCATGGATGCCATTTCGCGAGATCTTCAGAAGCCGGCTCCATGGACGCTTCTTTATGCTGATGACGTGATGCTCGCCTGCGAAGACAAACATCTGCTCGAGCAACAGGTGCAAACCTGGTCCGACCGTCTGGCTATGTTTGGGCTCAGGTTGAATGTGAAGAAGACAGAGTACTTGACCACCGATTTGAGTGAGTCAGGCACAATTAAGATCAGTGGCACT